ATATCTAATAGACATCGAGGAATCCATCTGCTCACAAGGAAGGTCATGACCTTTTCCTTTTCTTTCTTATACACTATATAAAGTAACATATTAATAAAATGAATAATGCTAATTGTAAAATTGACAAATCATTGACAAATAAGGCAATGTCAGAAACACTAATAATCATGAAAAATTAAGGTCAATTTTGGGCACCCAACTTTGTGAATTTTGGTGGCACATACAATTATGGTGATGGATACATAGTCTTAATGAACAGATATAAAAGGGATGACAGCAGCAAGTTCTTTTTTAGACAAGAAAAACATGCACTTTATTTTGGAAAAAAAGAAAAACAGATGCTTCAGAAAAATTTGACACATAACAAGAGAACTTAGCACTAAAGGAGACTATGGGTATATTATATACTAATTTCTTGCACAATAATGACCGAATCCGTTGAATCATGATAAAATTAAATTTCCTTAAAAAATACTGAACAATTGAATCATGTAACAGGATATATAGGATGAGGGTCTGAGGTTGGTGACAAAGGAATATTTGTAGTGAAGTTCTATATACCACAAGAAAAAATGAGGTCAACACTATCAAGAATTCAACATTACGATAAATTCAGGTTTAATACTTACCTTGTAAACTATGCCAAAACCTCCTTGTCCCAGCTTATTTGAATCGGAGAAACTGTTTGTGGCAAAGAGTATGTTCTCAAAACCAATTAGCGGAAGTTCTGGACCTTGATGAGGCTGCCTTTCTATGAATTCGTTCGAGCCAGAGATGTTGTTTGCAAAGTCTGTACTTGAGCTCAGATCACTTAGTAGATTTCCTTTCTTTCGATCCTTGAATACACCTGGTTAGGCAGTTGAGTCAATTAAATTCTCATAGCTGATCAATTTAGTTCCTAAAACCTGTAGGGACACAACTTACCAAATACCTCACTGAACTTCCAAAAGATAAAGATGCAAGCCAAAGAAACGATACTCGCAGGAAGAGATACTATAATTACTATCCTCCTAGTCTTCGTCTTGCTGCCTGATGTTCCTGTTTACAGAAATAACTTCAGATGCATATTCTGAAACAAAGTCCGATAAGCATTGTCGAGTGAAAGGTCCTAAGAATTCAAGATGGTGCAGCATATCTTATTATGACTGTAGGTCAGCCAGGATGATGCAGTGTCCAGGTTCATTACAGGAACAATGTGATAGTCTCAAAGGAAAAAAAATTCTATTGTAGATAGCAGAAAGAATAGCTATATGTCAGTGGAAAGCTCAGTTTCCTGCAGTGATCAATATGTATTCATGCTCCACAACCTCAACAAGACTACCACATACTACAACCAGTGTTGCATTGAAACAATAATATCCAAAGGGAAAGAGATAAAATGCATACCTAAACTAATATCCATTAGGCGCAAATAGAGATCCTCCCCACCACTGCTTACCATCTCAGTATCTATCAACTCTCCCACCCAAATCAAGCACCCTGAGATCGTTTCGTTTCCCGTTGTCACATCAGAATAAGCATAAGCTGTACAGGAACAATTGGTTAGGCATGCAGTTCTGCAGTCTCCGATGTTTCTGTTCCTAAGAAACACAACATGGTCTGGCAATTTCATGCCTTCAACTCTCAGAAATCCATCACCATCACCACACCTCAGTGCCTTCTTTCTGGTGCAACCAGCCGAGAAGTTCCCATTCTCCCAGTCACTCTGAACCTTGGGCTTAAATCCTTCCATACATTTGCATGCTGGCACTGATTCAGTACTATCACAATATGCGAATTGACCGCACCATCCATATGTTTCGCACTTGTCATTTGGCACAGATGAGTACTTTGTCCAATTCTTGGAACTATTATCCCAAATCAGTAACTCAATCTGTCCTAAATAGTTTAATGTGTATCTAATATACAATGATGCATCTGAGACACTTAATGTGATGCCGATCTCATCATCATCTTCTAGCACTGTTAAGTATGCCACAGCTGTGGTGTTGATTGCTCGTGATCCAGTGAACATTTTCCCAATCCACACTTGGCTTCTCCAGTAGAGCTTTGTCCCCGACCAAATCAGGAGCTGGGCAGCAGTGCTGGAACCAATGCCAAGGGAGAAATTCCCTGGTGAGGGGTCGTTTGTGTCCTTCCAAGATGTAATGTACCTGGCTGACTGTTTGCCGAAATTGTACTGGATCTTCATACCTGGAACGAAGGTGTCCGTAGGATGATCAAAGCTCTGCCACAATATATTATGACTGTTTGCTCTAAGAACCAGACTTCCTGAGTTGAGCAGCACTGCTGCTGTGTCATTGCCTGGTGTGCCAAAGCCTGATAAATTTGATGACCAGAAGATGCCTCCTTCTGAGTCCATGATGACGAGGTTGCTGTCATCAGAGATTCGAAGAGTCGCAGAGGAATCATTGATCGGCTGCTCTCTGTTGGCAACCCATATGACCGTCCTCTGAGGGATGTTGTACCACACCCCAGCATAGAAATCACCAGTGGAATTTGTAGGAGAGAAGAAGCCGAACACAAATTCTCCAGCATCGGAGACCAAAGTCTCATTCAGGGAGATGAATTCCCCGGGAGTGAGTCTGTCATCTGAAGTACCAAGCAGTAGAAGAGATAGAGATGATAACAAGAAGATTGCATCATACGGTAGTAGCCTCACCATCAGTCTGCAGCTTCTTTTTGTGAACCTTTATGCATTTGAGCTTCTTGCAAGTAGATAGCTAGGATTTCTTCTTTTTGCTTTCTTTCCTCTCTATGAAGGGACTTGAAACTGCTTGCAGATTTTTAACTCCATAATTTAAGCAGTGATCAAATTGTAGTTGGTGAGTGCTAACTTGCCCTGTTTTGTTCACAAATGCTAAAGAAGAATCCAAACTGTTAGACTGGTCTCAGAACATCAAACCACAGATTGTCACAAGAAGACAGTGCAAGAAGAGTGCATGACAAGCAAAATGACCCCTGCACCATGTCCTTGACTTTGATCATAGCAGCCTTATTGGACTCTTCTCATAGCAGAGCAAGGGATTAGTCCAACATACTGATCCAGGCATGCCCCACTTGATTACTGGCATTGACCAACCAAGAAGGTTCTGACCTGATCGATCATTTGAATGAATGTAGAAAGATCGGAAACAAGAAAGCAGAGGCTTCCAGGAAGTGAAGACCTGCCATTGTCTTCATGATAAGAACAATTTAGCTCAGAACGCCAACAACAAGTAAATTGACTCTGCAACAGGAACTCAGGAAGAGAATTACAACTTCCGTCCTTGACTCTGCAGCTGGAGTTTGCTTTAAACCATGAGAAGTAAATTGACTCAATGGAAATTTGATTCAGGAAGCCTACCGAAGTGACAAATGAACAGCTGATAGAAGTCAAAACTTGGGATCATCAATCTTGGTGTGCAACCTAAAATGAAAAAGTGATTGTTTGAACAACAAGAGATTATATCTTAGTATTTGCATTTTGATCCTTGTGTGTTCTTTGAGATGCCATCAAAAGGTGGAACATCAAAAGTTTCTGTTTGCTTTGACCTCATCCAGAATGTTACCTATCTCATTTATGTTCTCCTTTTTAGAGTATCAAAAGATGATATCATGATCAAAAGTAGGATAAATAAACGCAAGACTCCCAGAATTTGATTGTGTTCATGTATAAGACAACCATATGCACTAAAAGATTAACCCCAAGTCCCCAAAACCAAATCAGAACCCAACAACAGAACCATGATAACATCAGTCTTCATCATCCCTGACCTTTAGCAAGTCCTGTGACATGGATCTCTTTCTTAACAGGGGAATCGTGTTTGTGATGTTTGTTACTTCTTTCTATGTCTCTTAATCTTTGCATTCCACTCCCTCATACTTGACAGTAGAGGTAACACCATCACAACCCTACGACACACAGGATTAGCAGACACAGGTAGATGTAAACTACTACATGATTTGCTTACAGAAATAGTTTTCTCATGCTCATTGTAATTAGGCAGCATGTTCTGAGTCATGGTGGATCAGATTACAACTAGTTGAGATGCGGACGAACCACCAGCAGAAGACGTACCTTTTTTACGCCCATCATGCTCATCCTTATTCTGAGCCATCGGCAGCCAGGTATTCTTCCTAGTCCAGGTTCAAAGATGGATGTCCAAGGACATCCCCCCTCAAGGCCAAGCATGACTATCCCTGTCCCACCCGTCTCTCTACATTCCATCCGCCCCATGCCCACGTGATGATCACAGCATCCCATCCCCAACGGCACCATCGTCGTCCTCTCCCCTCTGATCCGTAGCCTCCTCGGGCCACATCTTTTTTCATCGCCCATGCCGAGGTCACCAGCCACCGCGACCTTCTATCCGGCGCCCACCGCCGTCGGATCGTGATCCGACGACCAGGCCGAGCGAAGACCACGGACCCAGCGTGCGACAGGATCGGCATCGTGGCTAGAGAAATGCCGGTTGCCCCCTCGACGCCGCTCGTCCCCCGTCCCTGGACCACCCACCACTCGTTCGAAGAAATCACGCGGGTTGGAGTTCCCGCGGTGCGCGCACCGGAGGAGCACGTCTTATCCTCGGGAAGGAACGGAGAAGAGTCTGGAGTACGTGGCAGCGCTTGCCACGTAAGAGATCGCGTACCCTGGCGTCGTGGTCGCTTCCGCACCACGAGGAATTCGTATTTTATATCGGCCTTCTCGAGTTCCGTGATTTGATTTTTTGAATGAGTTCATTAAAACCAAAAAAATATGATTGGAGGCGGTAGGTGGGCCCGAGAGGCCGACGAGGCGGGCCAGGCAGTCGCGCATATGGAACTCACGTGGCCCGGTGAGAAGGCTGGTGGCGGAAGAGGGGCCACGTCGGAAGCAGGGAATCTCGCCCACCCTTCTGAGCGCCACGTCCTTGACCCGGGATTCGTGCGTGGACCGAGGAAGTGCGAAATGACAATAGTAGCCCTGTACCGAGTCCGGTTACCGCCCAGCCAAGGGACCTCGAGACAAAAGAGAAGTTATAATCTCTTTTCGTAATGGCCATCAGATTTCTCGTCCTTATCGTTTCCTCCACTTTGCCTACTTTGGCAATACTACCTGAAATGAAATAAACAATTAAGGCGTGGAGAGATTCCCAGAGAACGGCCGTAAAAGTTCAGCGCAGGTGAGACGAAAATGAACGGGTCGCTATTTCTTGCTAATTTCCTAGGATAAGAAATCGAAGAGGAGGAAGAGAAGTGAAGGTGACGGCAGGATCGAGAGATCGATCGATCGAGAAGGGGAGGAATGGGGGTGAAGCAGTGCGAGCTGTGCGATCGGCCGGCGAGGATGCACTGCGAGTCGGACCAAGCGAGCCTGTGCTGGGAGTGCGATGCCAAGGTGCACGGCGCCAACTTTCTGGTCGCGCGCCACTCCAGGTGCCTGCTCTGCCAGAGCTGCCAGTCGCCCACGCCGTGGCGGGCGGAGGGCGCCAGGCCGGGCTACGCCGCCTCCACCTGCGAACGGTGCGCCGTGGGGTGCGCGACCGAGGGCAGGAAGGATGGGGGTGCAGACGGAGGACCAGGTGGCGTTGGCGTGGCGGAGGAGGATGAGGGGGAAATGGGAGGAGAAGAGGCGGACGAGGACGAAGACGAGGAAGCAGAGGAACCGGAGGACGATGGCGTCGATGAGGAAGGGGAGAACCAGGTGGTGCCATGGTCGATGACGCCGCCCCCGGTGTCGAGCTCGTCGAGCAGCGAGGAGGAGCAGGAGGCGGGTCGGAGGGAGCGTGGCGGTGGCTTCTTGAAGCGGACGCGGGTGAATGTCAATCTCCCCCTTTCGCAGGTAAATCTGTCATCTTCTCTCCGTTCCATTACCCTAAAACAATTTAAGCACCCTTTTTCGTCAAATTTCTAATTGCGATCTTCATCTGTCGATTCGTTGCAACAAAATTTCATGAATTACCTTCCAAATTAGTCACAAAAGGTTAAAAAAACAGAATTTTTTGATCCCCAAATACGAAACTTTCAAAAGGAGTATTGAAAAGGAAGAATAATCCACGAATGGATCACAGGAAGATGTCGCCTGTTCCTCGTCCCAACCGAGCTACATGACGTCGGACGACGCCACCTCCAGGGACCGCAAGAGACCTAACCCTCTCCGCGCCGACACCTCCACCTCCGCCCTCGGTGATGTACGCTTCCACGGCAACCAGGGAGGTCTGACTTCCTCCCATCCAGGTGAGTTCACCCTCCTAATTGTTACAATAACCGAAGCCATCAGAAAGCTAACTCAAAATAAGTCCCGTGTTTTAGGCATTGCAGAACAATCCAAGAAACAACAGGGCTAACTCAAAAGATCAAATTGTGGAAGACACACCTTTGTATCTACTACGTTCGAGCTTCAGTAAGAGTTAACAACTCGTTCACTCGATAAGTCTCTTATCACTTTGTTTCCGTACATGCAATGGTTAAAACTGGTTTCATGTATCTTTCATATTACTGATTTGATGTGTTTGACCGATGTGATCCGATTCAGATGATCATATTGTGTGGGACAGATTCAATCACCAGGAATTGAATTTTCCGGTGTGATTTGGGTGAGAAATTTGTTTCGATATGAAAATTATATGATTCTGTGTTAAATCCAATCTTTTTCTTCGTTAACGTCATTACCAAAAATTAATGATAATTAATTTTTATTTCTTAATAACCTAATTATAGATTATTTTTATAATTAATTATCTTTAATATTACGATTTTTTCTATTTTAAAAAAAATTATATTAAGATCTCTATATTTACGAAAATAAAATATTAAGATTTTTATACAGAATTAAAAAATAATAATTTCATATAATTAAAAATAAAAATTAATACATTATAAAAGTAAATATTTTATTTTCGTAATTATAAATATTTTAATATAATTTTAAAAACTATAAGGATCAAGTAACCTCTTAATACACGAGAGATTGATGAATTTGTTTTGGAATGTAATAAATGCGAAATTTAAGGAAATATGCAAAATAAAACAAAAATCCTGACAGAAAATGAAGTATATGTATAAATGTCGTGTTGTTATTTAACTCCAAACTCATAGATCAGGAGATGAAGCTGATGGCAACACAAACATTTCCGAGTTCTTCAGCCTCCATTACCATATTTCATCAGCAGATGGAGGATAGTTAAACTCGTGTATGTTGATTGAAGATCACTAAAAGGAAGAAAATGTTGAACAAGATAGATGATTTCCATTAAAATGAACATTTGCATCAATAGATCGACACAAAACTATCACTTTGAATTGCAACTACTACAACTCTAGTTTAGGGGCATCATCACAGATAACAAGATCCAATGATACAAGGATCTATATGCTAAAATATGTCCCTATATGAACACTTCAACGCACAAAGAGAACAATTCAATTATGCAAGTTGAATTGCTGTTTCCCAAGTAGGTTCCCCCTGCATGCAAGGGACTTGGTTCCACAACAAATCCGGTTTGCAGACAAATCCAGTTTGAAGATGACGAGAACAACATCGATCGAGAAAGGAGATAAAACATACCAATTAGACTTGTTCGATTTCTTTTACAAAGATCTAGAATTCGACTGAAATTTAAATACAGATGAATACTAAGAATCCATCAATAGAGGAATGAGTTTTGGAAGCAATGGCTCAGGCAATCCAGCAATGTCATCTGAATGTAGCAGCTCCAAGTAGGTTCTCCCTGCATAGCAGGAACTTGGAACCATCTACACCTCCATAACGTGGATATGTCATCATAGTCAACCGCATCTCAAATTCAAAAAAGCTAAATAGACGAAATTGAAGAAGAAATTCTTGAAAGATTTCTCAGAACAAAGCAACAACTTCTCGATCAAGAAAACTTACGAAGCAGATCAAACTGCAGAGTGTAATTAGAAAAAGCATCAGATTTAGCCGTTTCTTTGACACAGATCAGTCATCGGAATCAATCAACAGAACTGCAACGCCGAACGGCGACTGATCTCGCACGGGCATTGGGGCCTCCATCGTCACAGGCCTCCTCAGAGAGGCCCGGGGTGCACCGTGCATCTCAGCATTCCAATACCAAAACCCTTTCAAAATCGAAGCGATAACCAACGTTTTAAGAGATGACGAAGAAACAAAAATCACAAGACCGAAATAAAGAATTACATAAAATCCGCAAACATGGTCTCTCCCCTCCGCTCCTCTCGCCCTAAATCGCAAATGCGAGTGGTGGCCGACATCCCAATTTATAGATTGAACGAAACCCTAACCCTAGTGTTATGACGCCTATCGCTATATTCTTACATCAAACCCTAAATTTATGATCCAACGGCTGGCATCAACAACAACAGGATGTCAGCTGTCAAGGGCGCCAATGGGCCGGACCGGTTCAGGGTAAGAGGAACCCAATCGAACCCATCAAGAAATTTCTTGAACCGAATTCGACCGGAGAGACGAAGAGGATAACCCAATCGCCTTCTTCCAACAGTGGTGGTTTTTGTTGATGAGTCCGCGAATGCATCTAAATCTCGGATTCGGAGCAACAAAACGGACCTTTTGGAACCTGACCCGATCCTACTAAAAAGGATCCGGGTGTTCATTTCGGGTCCGATGAAGTCGGGATCCGCTTACATTCTATATATTGACAAGCTCCCGCAAACCCTAGATCTATCTATGCAGCTCGCAAGGCTTCGCTCCTCCCGCGCTACTGCGGTCACCACCGTTGCTGGCGGTTAAACGGCTTTGCCTTCTTGACGTTACCCTTCTCGGGGAAGGTACGCCGTAGATGTGCCGATTTTGTTTTCCTACTTCGGCTCTTTTTTTGTTCTTATTTGATTGATTCGAGGTCATTTGTGGTGATATATGCCATGCTTAGATCCATTTTCTTGTAGTGTTTGTTGCTTTCTGTGACATGTCTCTGAGCTGCAGCCATAATATATTTTTCTTGTCATTTAGGTTTATATAAACTAGGTAGATCTGGTTGTTAGTCTCTTTCGTTTTGTTGATTAGGTGTTTGAAGTGCTAAATGTCTTGTTTTTAGTGGATTTAGTGCCATTTATTGTTTCTTGCATGTTCCATATTGTGTTGTCTGCATAATTGTCTTATGAAATTATGTTCTACCTACAAGTGGCTGATGTTTATATGTGCTTATACTAAATTAACCACCTGATTTTGTAGATGGTCTCTGCTGGATCGTGTTCGTCGGGTGATGAGATGACGAATAATAACGAAGGAGCAGATGCGATGAAAAAGCCCCCTAAAAGGGACATCAGGCGCTACTATTGTCAATATTGTGGAATTTGTAGGTCTAAGAAGAATCTTATACGGTCTCACATGCTTACCAACCATAAGGTATGTCCATACACCTTTTTTATGCTGTTTTTGTCATTTTGTTATTGAGAATTTTGATTGAAGGGATTTGGTTATGTGATTTCTGGATCATTTGATTGAAGCGTATATGCTTCGTTTTTGAACTTTGGAAAATTTGTTGCCTATTTACGTTACATCTTAAAATTGATTAATTGCAATAAAATAAGTAAATTTGTCATTACTTGTTATTGTTAAGGGTCTCATTTGTTATCTGTTCCTTTCTGCCTTGAAACTTCTTTAGTTTGAACTGGAAGATGCACAATCTGATGAAGTTGAAGGCATAAACAAAGTGGACAGAATGAAGCGATATACTTGCAAGGAGTGTGGTGCAAGTTTTCGCAAACCAGCTCATCTGAAGCAGCATATGCAGAGCCATTCTGTTGAGGTGCTACAGTCTCCTGAATTGAAATGCATTTTTTCTTTTGTCTTAGATCATCTAACTTGTATACATTTTCTTTGTTGAGATGCTTTCACTCATTATTTACCAAAAACATTTTTTGTTTACTTATGCCTGCTTCTCTTTCACTCTACTGCTTTTCGGTGGATTCTTGTGGTAAACAAATATATGCATGAATTGAGTACTTGTTTAACCATTTTCTGCAATTTATATTTCAGACTGCTGTAATTCTGTCTTAGAAAGCACTTTGATCAGATTAAGGTAACAATAAATTTGACCTCAATGTATTGTGTGCTTACTATTTGTAACAATTTTAAAACAGGGCAGGTAATGTTATTTGTTTGGTAAGTTTGTGTACAGACTTTTCTAAAGTAAATGGTTTTGCAGGCATAAAAATTTGGTCCTGTTTGAATACTGGATTATGGATATATTGCGTGAAGCATTGGATCCCATGCAACGAACTCCAAAATGCGAAGAGGCTACATTACTTATCTTGAATGGACCAGTATCAGGAAGGGGGAACCTCCTGTGAAGCTCCATCAAGAAAGCCTCAATCACGCAATTTCAATGAGGTCTGTCTTTAACTGTTGTATCTATTTGCGTTTGATGTTTAGTATATAACTGTTTACAAGTTACAATGTGTTTTTTTTTCTGAAGTTGCTTGTATGGTCTTACGATGCCAGTAAGATGATCCCGAAATTGATGGGAAGGTTCTCAAATGGCCATGGTTTTGAGAAATGTGATGGTTGGGATCTTGTAAGGATGATCTGTCAGCCTGCTTTCTCATGTTTTTTTATCAAGGCATCCAAATATGGGAGAATTTTGTTTGTTGTTTAAACCCTTTATTTTGTTTCCTGGAATCAACTATCACACAGTTGCATAAATATTTTCTGCTGACATGCATTTGTTCCTTAGCTCTGATTTGGTTGTTTCATATTTCCTGCTTCTAATAATTAATTTGTGCTACAATAAGAGCAATGCTATTTGAAAGTCAAAATGATAAAAGTTGCCTACATGTTAAAGTTCATTATTTTTGTACCTTTTTATAAAGAATAGGAAGTCTTTTTCTTTTCTCTTATTACAACTTACAATTCATTGTTAGCTGATGGCCCTTCATTTTTCATTTTTCTTTCCTATTGGTAGTCCCGGTACTGATTGTCTTGGCTTGGGCTGATTCTAGTTTTGCATACTTTCTGATGATTTTGGTACAGAGACCTTTTTCCTGCCCGGTGGATGATTGTCGTGTGAGCTATAGAAGGAAGGATCATTTGACTCGCCATTTATTGACTCACCAAGGAAAACTTTTCGCTTGCCCAGTTGACAATTGCAATCGCAAATTTGGAATAAAGGCCAACATGAAGAGGCACATGAGAGAAATTCATGAAGACGAATCTCCTTGTGAAGGTCAAAAGCAATATGTTTGCGGTGAATCTGGATGTGGGAGAACATTCAAATATCCCTCAAAGTTAAAGAAACATGAAGAGGCACATGGTAAATTTCCCTGCTATAGGTGTTTTATCTATTTTCTAAGCATGGAGAAGTATTTACATTGTAGTCAATTCTAGTTTTTTTAGTTCTCCGCATTAGGAAATGATAAACCTGTTGTTAAGGTGATTGCTTGGGTTTGAGTCTACACAATGTTTGTATTAAATGGCTAAAATTTTCATTGTTTGTTAATTTTCTATATTGCATCATAAGTTGTAATTTGTTTTATTACTTCAATATAGTCAGTTCTGCAGTTTTAAGGTTTTATTAATTTATCTCGATATACATTTGTTTACAGGGGTCATATAGTATGCTATTTTCTCATTGTAATTAGGTCATATGAAAAACTTGTTTTCCTTTATATACTCTGTCAGCTAAACCACTTAATGTTCTGCAGTTAAAATGGATTGTTCAGAAGTTGTTTGCTGTGAACCTGGCTGTACAAAAACATTCACAAATGCAGAATGTCTTAAAGCTCACGTCAGGACTTGTCACCAATATGCTGAGTGTGAGGTCTGTGGGACTAAGCAACTAAAGAGGAACTATAAGCGACACGAACTCAAGCATGAGCTGAATGAGAAGACTGATAGGATCGAATGCAATTTCAAAGATTGCAATTGCACATTTTCAAATGTAAGACCCAAACATATCTGTTTATGTTGTTAAATTATGCTAGAATGTACAGGAATTTTCTTTCTTATAGATTGGTGATGCATACCGATATAACGAGGCTAAATTTATTATATAAAATTACTCAAAAATGATTCTTGATAGAAGAATTATTTAGGTGGCCATTTTTTTCAGTAGTTCATTTTTAGTATTTTGCTCGTGACTTTTTACTCTGTAAGAAAAGCAATATGTTGCTGTTTTAAATTCTGTTATAGAAAACCTGTAATCCTCTTCTGTTTGTTTTTAACTTGCTTCTCTTACACTATGATCCTTCTCTTCGAAGCAGTTCAAATACCAGTTTTGGATCTAATAATAGTTCATTGTAGAAGTCTTGATAATACAATACATTCATCTACATGTTTACCATTTAATTGTGTCAGTTTTAATTTGGTTAGACATTGGTGTTGAGATAATATAGCCCATCTTGTAAAGAGTAAGATTTTGTTGCATCTGGTGGTTATCATTATGCATTACTGATCAACAGTACTGTAGTAAGATGTATGGAACAGTGATCATGGTTTCATTTCGCTGTTCAAGATACTTGTGTATTCTGGATATAGTAAAAGTTCCTCAATGCTAAAATTGGGGATACATCCGAGGAGTAAAGCAAATAGCCCTGCCTCTCGTGTATATGACAAATCTAACAAAGTGGTGTATCCTGAGCCCACACACAAATCTAACAAAGTCTGTTTTTTGACAGTTAGATTCATCTGTATCAATTTTTCATAATGGTGTGATTGATTAAAAGCTGATTTTTTTTGCTTATGCAATACTCTGATATTTGATGTACGCATTTCCTATTGGTAATCAGGTGTTTTTTTTGCTTTCGGTGATTGTATAGTATGTTGTGATTTGTTTCAGGCATCAAATCTCAGACAGCACATAAGAGCCATACATGAAAAAATGAGGCCATTCACCTGTCAGTTCTCGGGATGTGGGAAGAAGTTTCCCTATAAGCATGTGAGGGACAAGCATGAGAAATCTTGTGTTCATGATCATGTTCAGGTAAGTCACTTAAATCTTCCACTTTGATTGGTCAAGGGTTTTAAAGTGCTGAAAAGATGTCTAATGTGGGTTTGCATGACCAATAGGATCACAAGTTTCTTAGTACTAATATTCTTTAGGATTTATTTTTCTTGTGTTCTTCCCTAGAAAGAATCTTCATGCTGTAGGGAAAATAAAAACTTGTCTGGATGTGTTCTCAACCGATGCAATGAGTTTTTCTTCATTTTTTTTTTTATTCATAGGATTCATTTGTGGAATAAAACACACTCCTATTTGCTCACCTACCTTTAGTGTTCATGATTTCTGATATGTTCTTGGACTCTTTACTGCAGGGTGACTTCATCGAAACCGATGAGCGATTGCGTTCTCGGCCAAGGGGTGGACGGAAACGGAAATGCATGTCCGTAGAGACGCTTCAGCGCAAGAGGGTGGTTCCTCCGAGTCGAGCTTCTGTCCTTGATGATGGAGTCAACTATTTGAGATGGTTGCTTAATGAACAGTAGTGTGTGGCCTTTTGAGTAGATATGAACAGATACATGATACACGCAGTGGTCTTCGTTGACGTCTCGACCTTTAGATGATGATGACACAATGAACAGATATGTAACTATATGTTGTTGTGATTTGTAATATGACTCGTTGATAATGACACAATGAAATCAAGCATGCCTTGGATGATCGCTCCGTGTTCCTACCGCCACTGTGATTTTGAATTTGAGTTGGAACCAACTGCACATGGCTCGTGTTAATTGTTGCGCATTTCTATTCTTGTGCCGATGGTTCTCTGCTTGATGCGAGTGATGTCAACTTCTGGCTTCGGCAGATGCTTTCTCTAATTGATGGGGATTAGATGATGAGTGCACGGGTAAAATGGGCAGAACATTCGGATGCCATATCAGGAGATGAGGAGATTTCCTAATATTGATTTATCCATCTAAAAATATATATTAAAAGAGAAAAATAAGATCATGTGAAGTTGTCGATGTTCTGGACACTGACTTGAAGAAAATTTATAGGGAGGTTTTTGGTTGCCATTCTTTTTCTTGCCACACTCATTTCTTTGATCAATTTCAGGTTGTTCGCTAAGATCAATGTTTAGAATCCATCTCTTGTCTCACAGCATGACGAAGCGATGAAAAGAAAAAAGAAAAAAAATAAGACGAAAGAGAACACAGCATGAGGAAGACGAAGCGATGAAAAGAGAAAAGAAAAAAAATAAGACGAAAGAGAACACAGCATGAGGAAGCAATGGCAACGCAAAATTT